TTCTGTCGATACCTTCTCTTTGCAGATCTACAAAGAACGTTCTAATGAAAAAATAATTGCTGCAACTAGTCTTTCTTTTGAATCTAAAGATAAATCGTTCGATATTAAAGGCATCGAAATGTTAGAGAAAAACAGTGGATTACATGCATTACTCTTCAAGAAAACGATATTGTTAAATAAAGCCGAATATACCTGTAACGTTTTTTTTTTTTTTCAAATTAGACATCCTAAAAACTTCTTAAGAAATGCGTTATTTATAAAATTATTTTTTATTTAAAATGAATTTTAATAACTCAGTGATGGATTATTTTGATTTTTATTTTTCAATAAATATGAAGTTTTAGTTATTTTCGTTTTATATCATTTCCAGTTAAAGTAAACATTGAAACGACTCATTCGTAGGGTCCACAATTTCAATTTGTAAATATTCCTCATCGAATGTTATATTAAAGTGAAAATGCATATTCAGTTTAAATCGTCAATAATAGTTGACACTTTCAATATTAAAAAAAATAAACACATTCCATGATTTTTAAACAATTATAAAATTGAGTTTCTTTGGTGAAGATAAGAAAGAAATAGCTTGAAGTATAATATTTAGAAGTAAAAAGTAAACAAATAGGGAAAGACGAACATAAAGTGCTGACATATTAACTGAATATTTGACATACTGCTATTCTATCAAAACAATTTCCAGTAGGCCACACAAAACAACAATTCTATAGAAGTTGATTCGGAATCCATTCGGAATTTTGAGAAGGGTTCGGATAAGACTTAATTTCTAAAAGTACATATGTATATATGTATATATATAAATTTAAAAAAATAATATATTTGCTGACTTTTATATAGGCTCTATTTTGCTACGTCAGTAGAAAATGCAATTATATACTACTGTATCTCAGTTCTGCATTGAATTCTTTCTGCAGACATATTGCAATATTGCATGATTTAGATATAAAATAAGTTTGTAAAAAAAACAACTTTTTTTGAGTCATCAATTTCGCTTACTAAATAAGATCGCACTTTTCATCGAAAATATGTAATTCAAGCACACTAATATTTTATTTACACTAATGAAAGATCAATAGTTGTATACAGAAAATGATAGAAAATTATAAAAAAAGTAGAAAAAAATATAAAAAATATATTTTTAAAATTAGATTACACCGCAAATGGTTTTTGGAATTGAGTCATACCATCATTTCATATTTCTTCATATGCTCTTATCTATTGTCGTTTACTTTGTACTTTTGAATATACTAACTGAGAAAGCTGTTGCGCCTTACAATTAGATTAACTATATATAAACTTCTTTGTTATCTTCGTGTTATAATCACAATGATACCAGATTTAATTTTCTTTAGGACAGTCAAGGCTGAGCTTCCAAGTTATTGTGTATACTCAACACTCGTTTAAACTATCGCAAATCTTTTCATATTTATATATAAGCTTCTTAAACAATCTGTGAGATAAAATCGCATTTACACAAGTTGAAATCATATTTTTTTTAAACGAATGGGGGGAAAACATATAACGACTAGATAAGTCATAATCTTAACAGATATAATATAAATGTATTTGATCCAATGCAAGGTATAGCTGCACTTATACATATCTGCATACATGATATATAAAAAACTTATCTTAAATTAAATTATAATTACAATTACTTTATTTATCGTTACAGAGAGCGTCTGGTACCAGCAGATTTCGAAAAAATATGTTCGCAGTACTGCGCACTGTAGATTATTTTAACAAAGCAACACTAACGTTAAAAATGTATTTTATATATGAAATCACATGTTTATAATTAAAGTCATATTTAAGTGTTAATATGAATAAAATTCAGTTTCAGAGTTTTATTAAGTATCCTATGTTAAAACAAATTCAAATAGTTTTGATAGAAGTGGAACAGAATTATAAGAATTTTTAAGGAAAACACAATTTTTTGTTAGAAACTGAATTTAGTATTATAATTAATTAATTTTAAGTTTGGATTCGAAAAGAATAGAATGAAAGACAATAAAACAAAAAATTAAATGAAATGGAATGTCAATAAACAGAGCCCTAGACTTTCATTTGAACGAAGAATTACGATCATGGATTATTTGTACTAGAAACTGACCCTAGCTGAACAAAATACAATCAGCCCTTCGAATAAAAATCAGTATGACTCCCGTTAACGATTTCCTAATATCAACTCCCGGCGTTATACTATTTTATTAGCTCAAATAAAACTGTCACAAAAGAATGTGACTAGAGATTTCACTTGCCTCCAAGTAGAGCAAACAATGATTTATACAAAACTACTTTTAAATAGTAAAACCCTATACCATATATAAATACAGAGGTAGTTCGTCCAGTGGTTAACACCAGAAAGATTAAAAATGATAGCTGGCAAACAATACCACCTTCACACCGCGAATAATAATAAATGATGAATACTTTCAATTTATAGATATTTTAATAATATTCGTAGCACTAAACCGGGGAAGAACGGAGCAAATGAAAATAAACAAATCCTAAATATCTTTTGGTATGCTACGTAATATATATGACTCTCTCATCTAATTTCTATTTATCTTTAATTTAAAAAAAATCTTAAAATTTATGACAAAACGATTAATGAAGAATTCAAACTTTTTTAATCTTCATGCAATGACAGTGGGTAATGCTTTTTAACATAAACCAGGAATTAACATATTTTTTGTAATGAGATATATATACTTCATAAATAAAAATTCCACACGAATTTGAACACTTATACCAATATATTAACTGAAACTTATTCAAGTAAACTTACAAGATAATAACCTTTCTGCATGGCAAATGAAAGAATTTCAAGTATCACATCTTCCATTCAAACTTAAAGTAAAAATCTTTCACAAATTATTGCACTTAATTAATGCTGTATATTAGATGCTCTAACAGAAGGGTCCACATTTCTGAGATTGTGGTTATTTGTTAATAAATTTCCTTATTATTGTAAAGAGTGCTTGTAAATAAATAAAATATTTATATTGTAAACGAAACTACTATCAACGGAACCATGATGACACTGTAATACACTTTGCGCTAAATATGGATAAGAATGAACAAATATAGTTTTCGTTAGTTGCACATGGCCTAAAATATCTCAAACACACAAAACAAACATTATCTAAAATAAATGGTTTGAGGAGCAGTTAAATCTTCAACCCCTATCTATCTATCTATCCGTATCTACCCTTTGTCTATCTAAGCGACAATTGGCTTATCCATTCATTCTTGTTCCTGAACAATTCCCTCTATCTTTCACACTTCTTTTACCTAAACATATTGACAAACGCAATTTAGTAGAATGTGAACTGAATTTGTTTTGAGATAAAGAATAAAGATATTGTAAAATACACAGACATAATACATATCCTAACCCATGTATAGGTATTTGTAATTCCTTTTATGGTATTTGCTTTAAATATCTCGGCGAGTTAGCCTACAATATTAATATCCCAGAACCATACATCGATTCCGATGTTCAAGTTCCCTTAACCACTGTCAGTTTACAAACAATAACTACAACAATGATATGGTAAATTGTTGGCGTCGTAACTAATTTACGAAAGATTGAAGTCCAAACTTTGGACTTACAACGTACTGCAGTATAGTACTAATCCGTAATGCTATAATGTTTATAAGAAATTTTTTATTGCGACAAAATACTCTTTTCAACTCTTTTCTTTTCTTATCCCTTTTTTTATTCTACTCGGAATGTTTTTTATTTTACTCATATAACATAAACTTTTTTAAAATTTTATATATAGTATAATTTATGGAAACTATAAATCTATAATTTAATTATTTGTGAAATAAGACTTATCAAGACCGCGTTATCGAATCTCAGAATGGTTACAGGCTCCTCGGGGAGGTATGCAGATCTGAGGTCAATTATTGCTTAGTCTAATGAAGTGATAAACAATAACCCAATCAAGGCGTAAAGAGGGATTTTGAAGATACCTCGAGTTAATAAGGAGTAAAAGTGCTCAAGTGCACTGACTCAAATAGCTTCAATATAATAATATAATATTTTTCTCACATAATTTAACTGGTATTTGTTATATCCTATAAAATATTTCTCTTGATATCTCCCGCAAGTGGTGAATATATGGTTCACATAATATAATCACAGCAAATCCCATAACCGCGACGATTCAAGTTTTCAAGAGCACTTTTTCGGCAGATAAACAATCTTTATGACCCCAAATTTAGTGCAAGGATAAGAATAGGTCATTTCCCATTTCTCGAAAGTAACATTTTATTGTGATTATTCATGACTTATACATATGTATATGTTCAGTAGTTTTTCTTATTATACATATTAAGTTCAAATTCGTAGAATTAATTTTCCTAATTAATTACATACAAACAATTTTACATATCTATTTTATTCATTAGAAATTTTAACTAACCAAGGCGTAGGGCACATCCGCATGCACATTCAACTGTGAAATCATCTATACGGTAGTAACTAATTGCACCGCCCCTCACAGATCACGCCATGCAATTTCAACAAATCTGCTAGAAATACAAAAAACCTAGCTGTTTTTTAATTTGACCACCGGTTTTCTAAAAAAACAAAATTTTGTTTTTATGACAATTTTTGTTTTTATTTTTGTTATTCGGGTTTGTTACTGAGAATTGGCTATGTCAGCACTACACCGTACTTGTAAAATGAACTAACAAACAATCAAATTATAAACGTCGTCACAAAAACAGCAACTTAGTAACTACTCATTTATTTGTGTGCCACTGTATAATATAATAATACTGAATCATATTAGTTAAAAGCGAGAAGAAAAAACTTTTATTTCATAATTATTGAAAAATAATTTGTGCAAGTAAAAAAATACTTGAGCACTGACAGAGCACGGTTTGGTGGGGGAGGGTTTCTGACAGAATGTTAGAAATATAGAAATATAGAATTAATTAAATAGCACTAATAATTTAAAATTACTTACCGCAAATCAAACTGCAGCCAATGGCCAGCAACAAACCATAAATTAATTGAGATTTATTAAACTCCATCTTGCCGTCTGTCTTATTTTTCAAAAAATATTGTATACCTCGGAATTACTTTAATTTAATGCTGTATATAATCCTTCACAAATATGCTGGATTCTTTGTTCCCTTTGTGTTTGCTGTTTTTTTTTTTTTTTGTTTTTTCTTTATTATTGCGAAAAAAACAGTTTTTTGATTTTTTTATATATCACAATTGAAAATTTAAAATTTGTTTAACTTTAATGACAAACAAGTAAAATTGTAATTGTTATATCAAATTATTAAAATGCGTCTTGGGTTTATTTGCGTAAGTATTCGCTTTGTTTCTTTGCTAATAAATTCTATTTTGTTTCTATGAGTTTTCGTTTCAATCTTTTTCTTCGCTTGCCTTTGCTTTTCTTCGTGCTAAAGCGACTTCACAAATGAAATCCACAACTCAAATGACAAACAGAATCTTAAAAAATAAAATACTCAACAGCTGATTAAGTACAACACAAAAACGAATGAATAATGTGCAGGGTTGCAATATTTCAATATGCCTTATTAAAATCAATTAAAATTTGAAAATAAATACATTCATGTTAAACAATTTCAATCGATTGTCAAAAGTTAATATCACTATATATATATGTATTATTTCCATTTAATATGAAATATGTATTTTCATTATGATATTTAAAATTAAACTATTCAAATGTAAATAAACTAGACCAAAGATTACATATAAAGATATATATTGCTCTCTAAGACCGCAAATAAAAATAACTTACCCTACAAAATAGTTTTCATACAAATAAACTCATTATAAATAAATCATCTGATATAAGACGAAAAATGTCGAATGCAACCCTTAAAAATGAATTTCCGACAAAGAAAACCACCAAAATTTAAAATACGTATCATATGTTTTATATGTAAAATGTAAACAAACAATATATTTTAAACGCATAAATTAGCTTTTGACTAAACGGAATCGACTAAATCTTAATTTAATTTATTTAACATAAGTAGTTTTAGCTGCAGTGGGATTATGCAGTGATATTATGCTACACTTGAGCAATTTTTAATAATTACTTTTAGTGCAAATTTAGAAAATTCGGATTCAAAATTCGTATACATGAACTATGCTTGCATGGGTGCGTGTATATAGAAAAAAAAAAGAAAACACATTTCGATTTAAGCTTTTAATAATTAAATTAAAATATTTTTTTGCTTTCCACGACTTCGACTTTAAAAATTATACTTCCTTCATAAACTCCTAAAAATGTTTCGTATATATTTAAATGTACACATTTAAAATATTTATTTTCCGCCATTTTCCATAATTTAAAATATTTCATTTCCAAAATTTTTAAATTTGTGAAACCTTTTAATTTTGCTTCATTTTTTGTTAACAATAGCCGCAATTTTTTGTTACAGAGTAGCAAAAAAATACTCACAACTTACGAAAGAGAATATTTGAAGCAAGAACAGTGTTCTTGAAATCTTCAGAGTTAGGTTTTAGTCGTAAAAGTTTTTTCGTCTTAAGTTTAAGTACAGCCAAATACTTAAAGTTTACTGGAAATATGTTTCAAAATTCCTGCTATCCGTTATAAACATTTGAGCATTTCATTAAGTAATAAATTAAACTACGTAAATAAATTACTTAATTTATATATAAAAGATAAATATGCGTACCATTACCCTTCTAATATTCATTTAGAGCATATAAAAGCATATGACATATTTTAAAAGTGATGCCAATTTGTTTCTACCAATTCTTGCTGTTTCTTTACAACTCTGAAAAAATATATTATAACCAATTTTTTTACATTCTTTGAAATTTCTAATAAAGGTTAATAATAGTTACCTAGTAACACTTTTTTCTTTAGTAGCCAAAGTGTTTGGTTGCTTCACAACTAGGTCTACTTTCACAAAGAAAGTAAAGTTATTGTTTTGCGTACATTTATCAATATACATATAGAAATTGAATCACACCATGTTATTGGTGAGCATTTTATATAGTATTTAAATTTATATAAGAATACATTTTTTAGGCTTTATCAAAAATAACAAAGAAGAAAAATGAAAAAAGAAGTATTCAAAGATTTGAGAGATATATATGTATATAAGATACACAATAATTTTTGATAGCACCAGCTTATCAGAAGGTCATTCTTGTAAGATCAATAGTTAATGCTAACTGACAAGTACTATATACTCTTTTAATTTTCTTTCAATTATCCTCTAAATTTTTGCTTTTATGTAAATGATTGTGTTTTGTATTTATTCATGTATTACAGTTTTCATTCAATTAACGAATTAAAAATTTCTTAATACATAATTAACTTCATCACAATTAATAGCCTGTCATTTTCACCAACTGTAACAAAAAAAATTACTTTTTTAATATATACAAATGTACTCATTAACACTCCCAACAGGTGTAAATAATAAGCAGCTGACTGGAGATTTCTATTTTCTTCCCAAAATTATTCACAATAGATCAGTTTTAAGACTTGGCACCATTGTAGTGCGATGTGCTTGTTCGTTAAGCACTTTCGCAGTGGTAAGCTTGTTTGTGCGAATTTTGTTTTTGCTTTGCATGTTAAATTTTTAATACCACGTATTCTAGTGGTGCCTTCATGTCAAAATAATAAACCTAAAGAAAACAATATATAAAATCTTGAAAAGAGCATGATTATGACATATGTCAAATATGCTGTCTACTGAATAAGTAAAATCAAGATACTTTGATTTTTAGTCAAACATACGTTGAGATATGGACCACTTTTGATTTTACGTAACAATTACAACTCTATGTTGTTACATTTCATAATACTGGATTAACACGAGAGTTTCGTTTGTAATTTTAGCTTTTTCAATAGTTGTTGCCTCCGTGAAAAATGAAAATTTTTGAGAGCTAAAATTACAAGCAAAACTCTTGTTTTGATCCCGTATAAATGGCATGCAGACGAACTGGATTCATTTGTGCAGCGAATTTCATAAAAATTGGATTCTAACGCATGTTCAGATATTTCCTATTATTTAAAAAGTTGTTTATAATGGCAACATTATTTATTTTTTAAATCTATATACAAGGTGAGATGAAAAAACTGCAACAAAGTAAAACGCCATAAATTTTTTCATTTTTTTTAAATTTTATTGAATGAAAGCAAAAAATGTCGGAAATAACATCAAATTTGAGAATCGGTTTAGATTTGTTCGAATTGGCCACCTTTGGCCCGAAAGTGGCTCTGCGGTATTTTGTCCCATTCTCGGCGAAGCGCTTGCTTGAGATGATCGACACTTTGGTATTTTTTAGTTCCAACCTTGCTTTCCAAAATACCCCAGGCACAATAGTCCAACGGATTGGCATCCGGAGATTTTGGTGGCCATTGTGCGGTGGAAATGAAGCGAGGAACCTCATTTCTTAACCATTCTTGGATGGCGCGTGCTGAGTGCGATGGTGCTGAGTCCTGTTGGAATGTCCAAGGTCTGCGGCCGAAATGTTTGCGTGCCCAGGGCTTCAGAACTCCCTCCAAAATATTTTCGCGATAGATTTGCGCATTTAATTTGACACCACGGTCGATGAATACGAGCGGCGAGCGACCATCGGCTGTTATGGCGGCCCACACCATCACCATGGCCGGCTTTTGAGTTGTGATGGCCAACCGAAGTTGCAAATTTTCAGCTGACCTCTCTGGCAAGTAAACACGATCATTTTGTTTGTTTACAAACTGCTGGATAACGAATGGTTTCTCATCGGAGAAAACCAAATTCGGCAGTTCACCACTTTCGGCCAAGCGAAA